CCGTGCCCTCTAGCCCTGAGCAGCCGCGGCGGGCGGCGTAGCGTTAAAATTAAGTTGTATTTATAGGGAACCCCAAAAAGAAAAAGGGCAAAAGGGTACTACTTGCAAACCTGAACCACATTTTCTCGAAGCCTCAGAAGTCGGGCCCTCGACACATGGGTAGTTGTCTAAATTAGGGCCCCTTTGATTCCCAAACTTATAGTACGGCACCCTTATAAAAGGGCACTAAGTTGGAGAACTACCCACATCCCTCTCGGACCTAGGGGGCCCTCTGGAAACTGTGCATGGGTTTAGGTCAGTTAGGGCCTATGGTGTTTAGGGTTCAGGGTTTACGGTGTTTAGGGTTTGTGGTGTTTAATTAGGGTTTATCGCATTTAGGGTTTAGGGCTTATGGGGTTTAGGGTTTAGTACGCAGCGGCATAAAGTCGTTAGGAAAAGCCCGTCCCCATTGCCTGTATGACAGCGGTGACACCAGGGTAATCCAGGCCCCTGCGTCGTTTGGCTTGGCATCTCACTGCGACTCTCTTTGGACTATGGCCATGGCAGCCTATGCTGACACACTAGGAGTTTCGGAAGACCTACATTAGCATATAATGTGTCTAGGAACCTGCACAGTAACTACAAGGCAAAGTAAGAAGCTCACAACCAAGATAACTACTGCAAGCCACCCTATACCCTAAACGACCCAAGACCCTATAACTTAAGCACAGGGCTTAGGATTCAGCGCAAGCCATTTTCTCGGCTGCGTTTGAATCTAAAGTCTGGCCTCGAACGTCATAATACAGGCGCGTGAGCGGATAGATTTTGGAATTGTGGGGGGGGGGGGCAAAGTTGCAGCATAATTACCAAACATCAGGAATTGGGACCTCAATAGTGAGAATGTGCATTGCACGCAAGGCATTAAAACAAAGGATCGACGGGTGCTTTAACCAATCCGCAAACCTGAAACCCCCACCTAACCTCCCTTTCTCGTTACCAGAACTCCCACTTGCCAAGACCTGCTTTCCAAGGCCCACTGCTAGAAACGGAACCCCACATAACAGTTAACTAAACTCCACATAATAAGTGCTATCAAGGGCCATATACCCCAATTTGATGGTAGAAGGAAGATCCTGGAAGCCTTCCTATGAGACCGGCTCGGATCCTGCAGGTGAGCAGAGGTTCTGATCACATGCAGACGTTCATGCCCTGCATGCACTCCGCCGCAAATCCTACGTGTTACAGGAAACTAAATGTATACAGAAACCTTATTAAAGGGAGTCCCGAGAAATAGGTCTTTGGGCTACAGGCGGTGAACTAGCATTGAGGAGCCCCATTCCTTGTACCTGTCTACGCCACGCTATCAGGCGCTCCATGCCGGGGTCCTCGAGGTCACATCCGATGTGAAGAGAATTCCGCTCTCGGCAGCTCGAAAACCGTCCTTGCTTGGAGGTTCATGGGTACGTAGTTATAAGTGGAATTAGAAATCCCCTAGTATACATATAGGTTATAACTATAGTTAGCCTACTTCTCATTAACCCTACTTATCACCACCCATGAACCTCCAAGTGATCGAGATACGGCTGTCAAAATTCTAGGTCTATGTAATGTAAGCGAGTAGGATCCAGTTCAGGCTGCGCAGGCTACAGGCATATGCCTCCAGGAAATTAGATGCTATTCCATGTATGTGGCGCAACCAACACAAGTACTCCATACCTGATTTGATTAGGCTACGCATATCCAATATCACTTAATTAAGGAATATACCTGATAAATTACAGTAGGATCCCCATATAATATGGCTTAAGGTATATTCCGTAATTACGGGATATTGGAGTCTCTTGGATTCACTTGGTTCAAGCTGCGGTTCAGAGTGCCTCGGCTTTGCGCTTGGGAAAGGGTGCTGGTGCCCAGTGGGCCTCTCGAGCTGAGACCATGGCTACTGGTGATCTTGTAGCTGGTAAGGTAGGGGCCTAAATAATTACCAATACGAATACTATTTTGCAGGGGCTCCTTATTATACTTATGATATAATTTACCCCCAAACCCTATTCTAATTATTAAGGCCCCTAGATTACTACAGTGCTCCTACTCATCCTTGTCCTACTACTGCTGCCGTTACTGGCGCCCTACTGCGATTATTCGGGAAAAGTACCATTGTTACGACGACGACTACTACCGCTACTAATGTTCTTCTCCCGGTGCTGCTTTTGCTACCGCTACTGCTCCTGCTACTGTTACTTGTGCTAGTAAGCTAGTACTACTGAGCTCTGTTCACCCCTGAGCCGCTGAAGCGAGTCGAGATTCTGACTGATCTGTCCGCTGCTGTTGCTTCCTTGGTTGCTGCTCTACTCTAAACCCTAAACCCCAAAACAGGATTTAGGATTTGGGTTTAGGGTTTAGGACTTTCGGGTCTAGGGTTTTGGGTTTTGGGGAACAGAAACTGTAACTCTAAACCCCGCCACTCCTGAACTGATGTGAGGACTGGGGTCTCGAGTGTGGTGTCCAACAGTGTAGGATGCTGAGGCTTTAGGATTCCTGGGGCTTACAACTTCGGAGTACCATCGGGTTCGGGCCTCTTAACCCTACGCATACACCACGGACTCACACCGGAAGGCCTGACAAAGGCTTAGAAGCACATATATGTGAGGGGTTCATGGTTGCACTACTATAGGAGGTTATAACCTATGTCAGGGAACGTAAAACTTTACATACCCCACCCTAACCCCCCAGGTACCTACTATATAGGGAACTAGGGGCTCTAGTACCCTATATAGTAGGTACCTGGGTGGTTAGGGCCATGAACCTCCAAACAGCTTCTAGTAAGAAACTCTCGTGTCTGTCTGCCGCTTGTTTTCGAAGCTCTTAGTGTCAAGATGGTGGACAAACGAACTATGCAGAGGGGCATGCATAGATACTTACTTACTTACTTACTTACTTACTTACTTACTTACTTACTTACTTACTTACTGACTTACTGACTTACTGACTTACTGACTTACTTACTTACTTGCTTACTTACTTACTTACTTACTTACTTACTTACTTACTTACTTACTTACGTGGATGTACCTGGTTAGATGGTTGGTTGGTCAGTGAATTAGTTAGTTAGTTCGTTAGTTAGCTATAGTTCATTAGTTCGCTAGCTAGTTATATATGTATATAACATAATATGCCTGGCATTTCACATCCATCTAGCCATCCGTCCGTCCGTCTGCTCTTCCATCCATCCATCCATCGATCCATCCATCCATCCATCCATCCATCCCTCCATCCCTCCATCCGTCCATCGGTCCATCCGTCCATCCACCCACCCACCCACCCATCCACCCACCCACTCAGCCATCCATGCAGCTGCATGCTCTGTATCTACAAGTGCCAACTTGCATACAATCACTCTCTGCAAGCCCACTACGCCACGTGCGTGGCCTGGGGCTCTGAATCATGTTGGGGTTCAGCTAGGATGCCGCATGCAGGGGGCAAATTGGCGCGTTGTTCCACTGCTTCACGGCTCGGCTTCACGATTGCTCTGGGTTCTTGCTACAATAACACTGGCACGAGAGGTTGAGAAAGAGGGGTACAGGCCTTGAGCTCGTTGAAATTGCAGACCAGCTGCAGGCGCGAGTGAATCTCGTAGACCTGCTGTGCATGAGACTCCATACCTTTACGTTGACTTTCCGATTTGAACTGGATCCAGTATCAGGGAGCCATGCTTACTACAATGAGGCCTTAATACTTGCGGCAAGCTGTACCACAGCCCTTCATCGCGCAAATACCGCGAAACCGCACTGGCACCCTTGACTCATTGTCATGAAGGCTAGGGTATGATCCTGACCACACTGCTGGAAGGCGTTTGGGTGTCTGGGGTCCACCACGGCCTCCAAGCCAACGCCAGAAAGCCGAAACGCCTGGCAAGCTGAATTGGGCTGGTGAGGGTTTGCATTTGAGGTTCCTGAGTTCAGTCTTTTATGCCATTTTGGTTAATCGTCTGGTGTTCCCTCTTGTCCGAAACGCCCACACCGTCTTTGTCAGACTCACAGTACCAACGTACATCTAGAAAACAGAGTACCTGATCGAGTGTAAAGGGGCCATGTCTGCTCCACCTCGAACCCAAACCTAGCACCAAAACCCCCTAAACCCCAAGCCTTGACCCAAAACCCCCTAAACCCCCAAACCCCAAACCCGAAACCCAGAACTCCCTAAAGCCCAAACCCTAAACTCCAAATCTCATAAGCCTCCAAGACTGGGCCTTCACCAGTGCAACCTGAATATTCTGGCCGTGACGCACAGGACTTGAGGGTTTAGACCTAAACCCTAGACCCTCAACCGACCAGGCTACGAGGCTTTGGGCTTTAGGGTCAAAGGCGCTAGGGTTCAGGGACCGGGATGACGCTGGGGCGACCGGACACACAAAAAACGAATCGCAGCTTCCGTCTTGTTCTTGTAACGGGAGGATATCGAAGGTAGAATTCGACCAACCCGCCTCCGATTCCCAAGCCCCTACATCATCCCAAGCCCCTGCCTCGGCATAATAGGCCGCCACACGGCCCGTCAGGAAGATTGCCTTTGGTGGCTATCCTCAACCTTTAAAACCCTGAGCCGTTTTAGAAGCCTGGGTTCCTTAGCTTCAAAAGCCTGGAGTCTTGAGCCCAAAACCATGGTAGAGCCCCAATGCCCCAGCTCCAAAGTCAAGGTTTGGGGTTTGGGGTTTTGGGTTTACGGTTACCCCAACTCCACCCCTGCCACATCCTTCAATGAACAAAGCTCAATAATACTCCCAGAGACTCTATAAAACTCCAAACTCATTCCCACATCCTTTAATGAACCCAGCTCAGTAATACTCCCTCATTCCCCCAGTCCTGAAAGCGCAACGATTGGGGGCTTGATGGGGGTCTTTTGCCCGTGCGAAGGAGACAACGAAACTCTCAAATCTCAACGTCTCACCCCTTCAACGTCAAACCCCCGAAACCCGAAACCCTCAACCCTAACCCCAAGACCTTAAAAAAAAGCCCTTACAGCCCAAGCACCTTAAAACCTCTGACCCATTTAGACTCCAGAAAGACAGAGCCGATCAGGTTCAGGGTTTGGGGTTTAGGGTTCCCTCCAAACAATTGGTTGTTGGAGCTACAGGATAAAAAAGTCATGGCACCGCCGCATCTCAGGAAGCTTAGGGCCGTTTAGGGTTTAGAGTTTAAGGTTGGGCTTGAGATTTCAGGGATTTGGGCTCTGCGGTTCGGGATAAGAGTGGCACCAAGTGCCCTGTGGTGAGCCAAGACATGATCCTTGCTTTCACGCGCCCCACCTACTGGTGAAGTTATCGGTGCAGCCCCCGCTGGCTGAAATGTTGTCGCCACCACCCTCCACGGTTGGGAAGGGCATGGTGCCACCCTGACCATGTCCGCAACCAAGAACAGGCTCCTGCACTAGCCTGTGCACTCACCACGACTGTCTCCTCGACATCGACGCGGCCAGTAGTGTTCCGTCTGGACCAGTCGGTACAGTATATGCTATCCACATTGCTTTCGAGATCACGGCCAGCCTCATCCGGTCCTGTGCCCTTAAGCGCTTCCCGACTGAAGCATTGATCCTCCTCCCGAATGCTAGCTACATGGGTAGTTCTCTAAATTAGGGTCCCTTTTGGGATCCTTTCTATAAGGGTGCCGTGCTGTATGGGGGGCCTAATCAGGGACCCTAATTTAGAAAGCTACCCACATGGGCCAGGGTGCAGATTTCCAACGGACCGGAAGCCCTAAAACCTGACCCTGAGGCTCAATAGCCGCACGTTAAATAGCACAAGGGCTCAAACTCAAACTAAATGACAAACCCCCAAAAAGCCCTGAAACCCTGAAAAGCCCTTGCGAGAAAGCTGAGGCCGCTTCCACGATCTTTGGTGGCACGTCCTGGAAATGCTTCTTTGCCTTGATCAGGACCCTAGGTCTGTGTCGGGTTGAGACCCTACAGGACCTAAACATCAGCAATACGTAGCCCTAACCCCCAGGTACCTACGAAATAGGGTACTAGAGCCCCTAGGGCGCTATATAGTAGGTACCTGGAGGGTTAGGGTAGGCCCTAAATGTAGCACCTTGTTCTGGTTGCCTTCGCAAAACAGGGACCACAGTCTAGGGTCTAGAGTCTTGGCCTAAGTGCCGATTTCTCTCTTGCATTCGCCATCGGCTTTTGTGGTTGGGGTTTAGGATTTTGGGGCTTAGGAGGTTTAGGGTAGGATTACGCTCTTCAGCAGAGTACTGGAGCAGGCATCAAATCTTAATCATCAGAACAATATTTATACTATAATGTAGCACGAGCGGATTACAAGTCTCTGCAATCCGCAAGTCTAGGTTCACATGCAAGCGCAAGATACGATGAGCTTACCCTGCCCCGTAACAGTCCCCAAACTGGGCTGAGAGCTTTTTAGAGCCGGCCTACACCCCAACCCTAGGCCGCATGCGCTTGAAATTCGATACCCAAGGTTCAGGGTTAAGGGTTCACCCACAGGCCCCATAGTAGTTCCTTTTTGGGATTCCCGAAATATAGGATCCTAAATATGGCGGAGCACTTTTTTTTCTCCTAACGTTGGCGGTCCCCGGTTTC